ACAGGTGCTGTTCAGTTTCTATTCAGATCTCCCCAGTTTTGCATGGATTCATTTGTGTGCGCGTGTGCGTGAGAGGTGGTATGTCATTTTGTCACCTGAATAGGTTCGCATAACCACCACCACAGTCACCATAGGATGCCTTTTTTAACTGTGGATGAGGGACTCTGGGCATCATGTGTCACTTCTGCACCTTGTTCCTCAGGATGTGCCCTGTCCTTGCTGGATTTCTCCCTACAGTGGTCCCTTCACCATTCTCCAAGTCTCTCTTCAGCAGCACCCGTCTTCCTTTTCCTGAGACTGCCTGATCAGCTTCTGCCTGAGCTCCCAATTCCCCCAATGGTGCTTCACACCGGAGGCAACTGCAAAGGCCAATAGCCTGTGAAAAGCTGTCCACCAATGCAGAATACACCACATGGGGTGGTATTACAGACCCCCAGATTGGGCAATACCAAAAAGTCCACCTGTACACAGTGTCAGACCGGAAGTGGAGGAACAGGAGCTCCACACCATGGAGACGGGAGCATCATCTGGATAAATCTAGACATGCATGTCCCATGATGTGGCAACTCTATCCGGGGTGAATATATCCCTGAGAAACTTGGCACATGTTCCCTAAGATGTATGTACCAATATGTTCAAAGTGGCGTCACTTAGACATAAATTGGAAATAGCCCAAATGTCCATCACCAGGAGAAAGGATAAAAGGGGTAGTAGTCTCATAAATGGAATACTATACAGCAGTGAAAATGATAGGGCTTGTGACATGGAACAGATTAAACAAATCTCACAAACAATATCTGGTGAAAGATAAAAATCACAGAATACAATAGAACATATCTTTCAATTAGTTCCTTTCTTTCTTTCTTTTTTTTTTTTAAAAGATGACTGGTAGGGAATCTTAACCTTTGGCTTGGTGTTGTCAGCACCACGCTGTCCCAAGTGAGCGAACCGGCCATCCCTACATAGGATCCGAACCCGTGGCCTTGGTGTTATCAGCACCGCACTCTCCCGAGTGAGTCACGGGCCGGCCCTTTTCAATTAGTTTCAACAGGCAAAACTAAACATTGTAGGGTATAAAAACATGAAAAGCTGGGCCGGCCCGGTGGCGCACTGGATAGTGCGCCGCTTGGGAAGCGCGGCGGCACTCCCGTCCGAGGGTTCGGATCCCACATACAGACTGGTTCCCACTCACTGGCTGAGCGAGGCGCGGGAGCAACACTGAGGCTTGCGATCCCGTTGCCGGTGCCCGGTCCGGTACGGGGGCATGAAACAGATGAAATGAATCTCACAGACATAAAGTTGAGTGAAATATGCAAATCACAAAAGAATACATAGAAAAGGACATATCTTTCACTTCCACGAAGTTCAGAAACAGGCAAAGCTGACCATCTGAGGGATAAACAATGAAAGGAGAGCATCACCAAAGTGAGTGTTTCCCTTTGGTGGGGAGGGAAGGGACGGGGTTGTGATGGGAGAGGGCATGGGCGGGGCGGGGGGATCCCGGTCATATTCCATGTTTGTATCTGGGTGGTGGGTACTTCTATCACTATTCCTTATGCCATGTCTCTATGTTTAAGCACTACTGTTGAAGTGTGACGCGTCTGACAGAGGAGGAGAGGAGCAAGCCTGCCGCCTGATCCAGGGCAGACGCACCTGTCCCTGCCACGCTGCCCATTTTCATCTCAACCGGCGTTCCCCAAATGCAGCAGGCGTGTATTTCCAAAGTGCGGTGCTCCACATGACTAGGTGGAATGAGGGGTGTTTAGCTGCTGTTCAGACGACATTAAATAGCACTGACCTTTACAACGACCTTTGCAATGAATCTTTTTCATTCTCTTCCAGCAATTCTGATCATGTCAGGGAGAGAATCTCAGTTGGTTCTAGGATGTCCTTACTACCACCCTACCTATGCCAGCTCCCTTTTAACAAAGATAAAGCAGGCTTTAGACTCAGAGCCGCGGCAGGCAACGGGATCTAAGGAGAACTTAGTAATATTGCTTTTTTGTTGTTTGAGATATAGTTGCTTTTTAATCTTAAATTAAATTTTAAAAAATTTAAAAGTCTTCTTTTCTAACAGTTGATTTGTATGTAGGCAAAAGAATGTAGTCTTCCATTTTTAGTAGTTACAAGTTTCCTTTTCTAATAAACTTAAGGAAAAATTGAGCTTATTTA